TGATGGACTGGAGACCTGTCCAGGGTGCCCCCCCCCCCCCCCCCCCCAGCCTCTTGCACAGTGATGGCTGGATATGATAAGATAGAACTTTATTGATTCCGCAGGAAATTGTTGTGCCAGAGTTGCCATGTGTATGGGCACCAGTGACCCCCGCAACCCGAAAAGGAAGAAGCGGGTAAAAGATAATGGATGGCCGACATAATGAATGGATATTTTTTATTAGAATTTTTATGCTTTTCACATTTTTCTGTATTCAGTTTGGGGGTTAATGTAACTTTTTATTCAACCTTTATTTATACAGGTTAGGTTAGTAACATAGACTCATCAAAGTTTATGTACAAACTGTGTTAGAAAACAGAAAATACTCTATGTCTTTGTTTACAACTAAATTGGGCGATCAGTAAATCACAATATCTCGGCACATCTCATTTGCAAATAATCTTTGTGCCAACTTTTGCTTTTGTCGTACTTAGAGACTGTCCATAATCACAGTACATAATGTGCATATGTAAACAAAGGACTCCAAATTGTTGTGAACAAAACCTGCTGATTTTGTTCATTTATTATAAATTATGCAGTAGACTTCAAGTAGAGAAATATGCATATTTAGTGGTTACTATTTATCATAGATGATACATGTAGACAACAAATTAAATCAAAAACTTTGAAAATTAGCATATTTTGAGTTGACAGCTACTGTAAAAGGTTAAATAGAACGGCTAGAAACCTTTTTAAGCAACCAAAGTCAAGAGAAAGACTTTATCCTAGAGAAATATTAATTATGATCAATTTAAAATATTACAAACTGCTTGTGAGCAAAGTATAAAGAGATCATGAGTGAAAAAGATTATTTGCACAATTCATATGAGTTTTAGATAAACATTTCCTCTTTTGTGTTTTATTGTTTATGTGTAAAAAAATGAAGAGTGTCACCGTTTTGGAGTGGCATCTGTTGTTTCATGTATTTTTGTTTTTAAGAAGTTATTACATGTAGTTATTATAATTCTCAGTCCTGCGTTAATAACACACCAGATGCACTAAAGCTCAAATACCCCTCGTCGCCTCTCAACAAGACGGGCTGTGATTGGCTGGTCTAGCTCATCTCTCACTGTTTCAGCCAATCAGAGCGGGAGAAGAGCTGCTGGTGTGGTACACTGTGGAAGACAACCCCGAGATAACAGCTGCACTGGAGGAAGAAAGAGCCAGCAGCCTGAGCAGGAAAAACTCACACAGGGCGAAGCGAGGTGAGGCCTCTTAACCTCGAGCTGTTCTGCCGTTTTGGGCTCCGGGTTACCTTCCCAGACATCTTCTGAGCCATTCAGCCCGAACTTAGTCGTAACAGACGAGCTGTAGCCGGTTATAACTGAGAAGAGGCTAGTCGGAGCTAACGACTGAGCGATGTATCTGCGGGGCTTTTCTTTACTTCAATACATAACTTAAAGCTCGTCAGTGACGCCATATTTAGCCCCGCACAAACAACGCATTGCCTCAGACGGTATTATTCACCCGCTAAACGAGTGTTTGAGCCGGTCTTTCCTCATCTGGGTCCTACGTTGTTGAGGATGTGACCTTCCTTGAGTTCATCCATCGGGGAGTCTACTTGATGGTGGCCTAGCAGCTTAGCTAACTGAACCAGCTGCCTTATAAGTCCTGGCTCGTTTTTATGGACGTGCTTGACTGCACCTTAAACTATAATGGGTAAATTGTTTGTCCAAAGTCGGACTATATGTGGTTTTGGTCTAGATTAACCAGGTAATCGAGTTGTCAGAGTTCAAGTAATGTTAGCATGAGGCTAATCGGCTCCACGCACGGACATCTCGGTGAGGAGGAGCCGATGCTAAACTAACTGGGTGGATGAAGTCCCACATTTTGATGAAATAAACAGCCAATTTAGTAAAATATAACAGCACAATGAGATGTTGTTTTTTTTTTTGCTTGTAGAAGCCTAAACTTGAAGTCAAAAAGACACGACATAAAAGTAGCGTTTATTAAACATAACACTTTAGCAAAAATAAAAAAACTTGATCATGAACTTTGAATTGCATTAAGAGGATTAGCATCAGCTGTGTTTCTTTTTTAATTGTCTGATTTGTGTTTACATGTACATCCACCAGCGTGAACTTTGAACATGTTTTCTCCCTGATGCACCATGAAGAAAAAAAACATTCATTGCAATCTGATCAGGCCTTTTCCAAACTGTTTCTTTTAGCTCAACCAAAGTCACAATAAACCACATTATTCACAAACATTTACTATGCCTGTTTAGGTAATATGTTATTTGTTCGAGTAGTCGTTGTCATTACAAAGGCAAAGACTTGTTCTTCTTTTGCGATCCATATAAATGCAACGCAACAAAATTAGGTTGATATAGTAAAATATTATTAAAGGATAAAGCAAGCTTTTAAAAGAGCTTAAAACAATGCAATGACAGGTGGGGTTTTTGCTGCGTAATGACAATTGGCACATATGTAACTCTGCAACAATAGTTAACATTATGTTTTTGTATATATTTGTACATGGCAGTGCAAATATTTGTTGCAGAAAGTGACTTGATTTTATGTTGCCATATATTAACCCTGATACCGGAAAAACAAATCCTTCCTTGCAACATACAAAAAGTAGTAGTTAAAGGTAGAAAATTAAATTAGTACCCCTTGAGCTACATTACAAGTGTTTTTGTTGCAATTGTCGTGAAAGGACCTTGATTAAGTTTCCATGAAGCACTAGAGGCAGTGTGTCCTTCTATGTAATCACTGCATTGTGATATTGTGAGTTTTTGCGGCCATTTGTTAGACCGCAAAACCAGCTAGGGCTGCCGTGTTCATTGGAATAAAAATGGTAGTTTAACTGCTGTGCAAATCTAAACAAAAATCTGGATGAATTCTAATAAATATTTTAAATGTCACTATTGTAAAAGCCCAATGCATGAGTAATATCCATGCTGCTTAGACAAAGTGAAGCAGGAAGTATTGGTTAGTTAGTGTCTTTGACAAACAGGTTTTTACTTTAAGTTTAACACATTTAATTATGGTGCTTTAATTTTTACTATGTTTAAAACTAAAATTGTCCCTCAAGTGGTAGTCTGACATATTGTTGTAAAACAAGTTACTTTTTAAAATCATTTGAAGGCTGTTGAAAAGGGCTTGTTCTGGATAACAAGTGCTCGATGTCTCGAAACAAATGGTTGCTGGTGTTAACTTTGCACTCAGGTGTCGTTAAACCTCAGTAAAGAGGCACAGCACCAGTCAAATTTCAGCCATATTTAAAGGAAGTGGAAAAACTAGTTGGCAAATTGCAGTTCTGTTAGTCTGATCTATTTCTTTGAAGTGCTAATACAAGTCTGTTAGAAAAAGTAAGAAATGCTGTAGGATGTTTGCTACATTGAGTCTTGGATATAAATATTTAAACCGTATTTTTCAATTGGATCAGGGACTTGTTGAGTGCAAATTCAGCTGATTTGGTGCAACAACTTGTATTTGAATATTTCATATGATTAACATAAACCAATAGGCTGCACTGCAATGAGAAGAAATTGTTACACAAGTGACAAACTTTTGTATTTGAGGCATAGTGTATGAGTGTCTTATGCCAAAACCCATTTTTGATCACAAAAATTAATTTTCTGTGAATAACAAAGATTTATTTGACCATAATATATTTGAACCAGTGTCCTCGTTTTTATCAATATATTTAGGCTTTTTGCTTTGCATTCTTCATCAATATTTTTGATGTTTCATTCAACCTTTATTTAGACAGATAAATCCCATTGAGCCTCGAGGACTCTTTTACAAGAGAGACCTGATTTCAACAAAGAATGAAGACAACAGTAGACAACGGCAACAACAATAAACAGTTATAAAAAGGCATACAGATTTTCTTTTTTTTTTTTTTTTACAAATAAGATGGCAAAAAAGTAACAAACAGCTAGATTATAAGGCGAATGTAGAAAACTAAAAACAGGAACATGTCTGCATTGGTCCCTGCCAGGAGTCCAACAGATTCTTAAAGCCACTTAGAGAGGTCAAGGTCGAGAGCTTCAAATCTTTTTGCAAGATATTCCAGGAAACAGGAGCGGAGTAGGAGAAGGCCCTTTTGCCAAGTTCAGTCCTCACTGAGGGAACACTGCAGGTAATGATGTCCTGAGAGCGCACGCTGTAGCTGCACTCACACAGAGACATGTAGGAGGAGATGTATGAAGGCAGCAGACCAAGAAGTGATTTAAAGATTAACTCTGGCAGCTGAATATTTGCAAGAAATGCATCAGGAATTAGGTTTAAAACAAATTATTTTGTGTGCACACTTTTTTTTTGTAAACTTGTGTTGTAATGTGTGTGTGTGTGTGTGTGTGTGTGTGTGTGTGTGTGTGTGTGTGTGTGTGTGTGTGTGTGTGTGTGTGTGTGTGTGTGTGTGTACTTGCAGTCAGAAGGAAGCTGCTAGAGAAAGCCAGACAGGCTGGTTTGGGTGGATTCAATAAAACAAGTGGAACCAAACCTACTGTTGGGGGGATGTGGGAAGTGGGAGAAGGTACGTTTCCTTTATTTAGCTGCATAGTTTAAAAATTTTTTGAAATAAAAAAATGGACTTAAATCAGTTAAGCCAAAAATGTTTTCATGAGAAAATATAATTCTTTAACAGGTGTTAAGGAGGACGATTCAGACATCTCGCAGGAAGTCAAGGAACCCTGTCTCGTGGAAAACACAGCCCGTAAAGATGGGCAGGGTGTGTCAGCATCAGTGATGAACAGGGGAAATTGGGCAGAAGTGGAAGATGAGGAAGAAGAGGAGGAGGATGAAGAAGAAGAGGATTGTGATGATTCAAATGATCACCAAACTTCTCAGCAGTCAGCTGTGGTTGACAAGCAGTCTGGCCCAACATTAACCAGTGAGTCAAAAAGCCATAATAGTTCACGTGCAAAGTTGAAAATTTCTTTTGCCCAACAAGAGCAGGAGGTCGATCCTGATGAGTTTGAGGGGAACCCCCAAGAAGAATCCTACCCCTGTCACCACTGTGAGCGCCACTTCTCCAGCAGACAAGGTCTGGAGCGTCACATACACATTCACGGTGTCGGCGGCCAGCAAGCACAACTCTTTAAGTGCCGATACTGCAGTAAATCCTTTGGCTCACAAGTGGGACGGCGGCGGCACGAGAGAAGGCATGAAAGTGCGTTGAAGAAAAGGCCCAGCTCCCTGGCTGGATCTGTCAGTCTGCTCAGCCCTGTGGTGCAAACAGATTCAAGTCCTGACTGCACCAGCCCGATGAGTCACTACGCAGCCATTGGGTCCCAGTTTACTCAAAGCTCCGAGATGCAGAGAAAGGAGTTTGACCGCCCTTCAGTGTTTGATGAAAATGGTGAATCAAAGGAACTCCATCCTTGCAAGTACTGCAACAAAGCATTTGGGACACACACCAACATGCGCAGACACCAACGCAGAATACACGAGAGACACTTGTTACCCAAGGGAGTCCGCAGGAAAGGCATGCTGTTACAAGAGGCATCGACGCAGCAGCTTGGTGAATCCCCCAGCGCAAGCCCTCCACCCGTCTACGTGCCCAGCGCTGACACAGAGGATGAAGCTGACAGGGATGATTATGCAATTGACATATCCAAAAACATCTCAGAAAATCTCAGCTTCTACATTGATGGCAAAATAGTGTCTACCAGTGCAGTGAGCAGCTGTGAGGTGATCGAAGTGGACACGAGATCAGCAGCTTTGTTTGGTCTGGACACGGTCATTATCAGCCCAAATCAGATTAGTCAAGCGCTGAAGGTGGAGGGAAGGACAAGTGCTACAAGACAAATCTCCACAAGTGAGCAGCCAGCAGCAAAAAGGAGAACATCAACACCCCCCCTTGTTACTGGCCTCAAAGTGGAGACTGACACAACACCGTCATCCTCTTCATCATCCTCATCTAACCTGCTAATGGGGGGATTGTTTCAGCAAGCAACAGATCCATCAACACTTCAGAGGGAGAAAACTGTTTATCTCTCTCCTAAGCTCAAACAGCTCCTTCAAACTCAAGACTTCCAAAAATCAACAATAGCCCTTTTAACAGAAAGCCACAGACTGGCCACACCTCTGACGGTCGCATCACTACAAGGATGTGCAGGGAAATTTAAAAGAAGAACAGGCTCTCCCCCTTCCTCCCCACAGCTCAGTCCTGCATGTAAAACTGAAAGCTGTAAAGCTGAAGTTGCGAGCACACACACCCTTAAGGTGCCAAAGCTGGAAAGCCACAGTGTGCCGCCTCCTGAAAGCCTGGTGGATAAAGATGACGGAGATCTCCTGAATCCTTCTGGGAATGCGGCGCACAGCCAAGCATCGTCTAGCGGTGAAGGAGACTCCTGTAATCAGCAGCCCTTGGATCTTTCAAACACTGTCAGCAGAAGAAGTGATGGTTTGAATACGGCGCACGGAGATTCAGCTCTGGATCTGAGTTTTCATCGAAAGCCTGCCGTTGAACTAGAATCAAAGGGAAACCCAGCACAACAGTCTCTAATAAAAAAGAAAAAACCGAACACCAGCATGCTTGAAAAGGTGCTAATGAATGAATACGCTGGTTTAATACTGCCAGGAGAGGAAGGACCCTCAGCCTTGGCAAACCTGAGCTGTTTTCATTCTCCATCTCCAAATGTTGCATCAGAGTCTGCCCACCCCTCTCCCCCCTCTCTGACCCCTGTCACTATAAATCCCTCTTCACCAGGCGCCTGTATCGTAACGTCTCCAACACCACCACCTCCCGTTCTACCTACTATCCCGTCTCCGCCCACTCTGACTAGCTCGCCTCGTTCTCAGCCTTCAGACTCGCCACCGCTGAGACCTCTTCCTGTTCTCTCTCCAAAAATGTCTCCAAAATCAGTTGAGAACAAGCCCCTGTTTGACTCGAATGAGAATTTCTCAACTGAGGAAATCAAGGAGGAATTTGAGGATCATGTTTCTGAGCCGATGGATGCCACAGACACTCCACTTGAAGGTCTTCCTGATCAGTCTTTATCACCATGTCCTCCTACAGCACTAGAGGCTCCTTCAAAAGAACAAGATGTTTTTCTGCCTGCAGCTTGCAACAGTCCGTTAAATAAAAGCATAAAGCAAGACACTGTTGCAGAAACAGAGACGCCTTTACAAACTGACCTTGCTGCTCTCCCATCCCAACCAGAATCCCCGTCATCTTCAGATTCTCCTCCTCCAGCATTACTGGAGTCACCTCCATCACTTGTTTCACAACCTTCCCCTCAAATTAAAGTTAAAGAGGAGCCTCAGCACTGTGAAGACGAGTTTCCACTTGTAAATCATGCACCACTGGCTGCTGCTGACTCTTCTCCTCAGCCGGCTGCTCCTGAAAACCTGTCGGTCAAAACTTCCGAGGCTGAAGAATTTGACTCAACATACTGCAAGACTTTTGTGTGCAACGTCTGCGAGAAGCCGTTTAACTCCATCAAGGAGCTCAGCGGGCACATCACTGAGCACGCCGCAGACTGGCCTTTTAAGTGTGAGTTTTGTGTTCAGCTGTTCAGTGACGAGGCAGTCGTGCTGGCCCACCGGACAACTCTCCACGGAGTGGGCCAGATCTTTGTGTGCTCTGTCTGTTCCAAAGAGTTTGCCTTCCTCTGTAACCTCCAGCAGCACCAAAAAGATCTGCATCCAAATGAGACGTGCACACACACAACTGTAGAGAGTGGCAAACTTAGGCCACAGAATTACACCGATCCAACCAGAGCCAAAACGGAAAGCAGGCCCTCATCATTACCAGAAGAAACAGATGAAAGTGCTTCACAGGGTGACTCTGAGAAAGTAAAAGAGGAGAATGATGTGAATGGGGATCATGTGGAGGACCCCAACGAGGAGCTGTACACTACAATTAAGATCATGGCTTCAGAGGGAGGTAAGCCCAAAGGCCCTGACGTCCGCCTCGGCATTAATCAACACTACCCCAGTTTTAAACCACCCCCTTTTCCTTATCACAGCCGTTCCCACACAGGCTCCGTCGCCTCTGCTACGAATTTCACTACCCACAACATCCCACAGACTTTCAGCACTGCCATCCGCTGCACCAAGTGTGGCAACAGCTTCGATAACATGCCCGAACTGCACAAGCATATACTGGTCTGTGCCAACGCTAGTGATAAAAAGCGCTACACTCCCAAGAAAAACCCCATCCCCCTCAAACAAATAGTGAAGAGTCCAAATGGAGTTGCTTCACCCACAGCAGCTACTGTGGCCCAGAATGCTTTCCGAAGGATGGGACAGCCAAAGAGACTCAACTTCGGTCAAGAGACTGCTAAAACAAAAATGAGCGCCCTCAGTAAGAAGAAGAACCAGCTGGTCCAGAAAGCAATTTCACAGAAAAATAAAGCTGCTACTACTGCGAAAAAGGCTGCTGTCAAAGTTGAAGGAGAGCAGGCGTCCAGCGTCTGTCCCCACTGCAGCCGGGAGTTTACATACACCGCTAGTCTGACTAAACATATGGCAATCAGTTGCCCCATGAAACCCGTCGTTGCTAAAAAGGGTAAAAAAGGTCTAGCGCAGGTGAAAAAGGAGTCTGTGTCTGTGGTGGATAAAAGTACAAGTAGGAAGAAAGCCCCAGATGACGATGTACAAACAGAGCCAGAGGTTAAACCTCTGAAAAAGACAAGAGCTCGTAGTTCTGGTGCAGCAGACCCTGATTCCTCCCAGACGAGCAAAGGAAAAACCTCTGCTGCGGTGGGTCGACTAAAAAGGCCTCCTTCATTCCCAGCACCAGATTCTGCTCGCAAAAAACCCAAGAAGGGCCAAGTTCAGCCTCTACCTCCCACCCCGTCGACCCCGGACACTCCCGGTGACACAGCACAACGACCAGCCATGAGAATGCAGCGCATGAGCAAAGGGCCAGCAGCCAAGAAACCAGCAAAGGCCAAACCACCACAACTGAAAAAAGAGGAGCGGTTATCTCACAGAAAGAGGGGGAGAGTGGGTGGTCCGGTCACCAGGAGCTTACAGATGGCCAACAGTGCACCTCCTGCTGAGGTGAAGACAGAGGAACAACCAGTGCTGGAGCCAAAAGACTCTCAGGTAAGACCCCCTGGATTGAGTCCAGCACATTATTTATTTTAAATGTGGATGGACAAATGAATTGCTTAGACATTTATTTATTTATTTTATTTATTTTGAGTAACGGAACAACATGAATCAAATGCAACGTACCAATTTATCTTGTTTCATTGACAGCACTTTTGTTTGAGCATTCTCATAAACTCTGGACAGCCCAGGACATAATTTAGGGGACTTCAAAGCTTATTTTCCTAATTAAAGCTTAATGAGAATTAGTATGATTTCGATTCAAGCGAGTTTAGCTTAATTTGATACAAAAGTTGCAATATTTCAACAAACAGAAGTTTTTAAAGAAGCCAAAGGTAGAGCTGTTTCAGCCGGCTCTTAAAATGCCCATCCAGTGACTCTGAGCTTTTTCTTTCTCCTACATCCAAACACTTGATGAATTAAAAAAGATGGTAGGTGTTTTTCTGACGTAAATCAGCAGCCCCGCTTATCACTACATCGACTGTTCTGTTGTTGATCTTTTTAGTCTTGCTTAACGTCATTATGATCCTTGACAAAAAATAAGATGCTGATAATGAACAGACGTCCCTGATTAGGGCAGTGATTCAGGCAAGTCAAGGATGCCTTTTTAAAAAAAGATAAATAGACTTTACATTAAAGATGTTAATTCTTTTTCAAGCCTGTGTTCAGAGCATGCTGGGTTTTTTTTATAAACAGCAATACATATATAAACTTTATATGTCAGACAAACATTAACACATCTAAACGGAGAAAAGCCCATCCCAAAAGAATAGTTTTTAATTATTCTACCACTGATTAATAGTGTGAATGTTTATGAAGCATTCATACTATTATGATCCATTTTTCTTCCCCACGTTTTTCAGCATCTTTCTCGTTTCACCTTTTTTGTGCTATTTCAACAAATCGTAAAACGTTCAGCTCTTTCTGGACAATCCTGCTATGACTTTTAGTGTTGGTGCAACTTTAGCTTTTTGAAATTCATAGTCTTTTCTGCCACTTTTTTCCTAATAATAAATTAATTGAGCTCATTTTACGTCCTTCAAATCTTTAGATCTATTTACAACCTTTTATTGCTCCTTTCACATTTTGTTCTGTTTCAGCTTCTTTCAGCTTCCTTGTGCAAATTTAAACTTTTTTTTAGCTACTTTCAGCTGTTTGTCTGATGTTTTATGCTCCTTTCAGATTCTTTCTGCTAACTACAACATTTTTAACTTCTTCCAACTTCTTTCTGCTAATTTCATCTTCAGGTTAGGTTTGGTTTATTATTGTCATATGCAAAATCAGCACGTGGTCAACAATGCAATGAAATGCTAGGACGAGAAGAACCGTCTTGACTCGCCCCCCCAAAAGAAAAACCAAGAAATACCAAAGCATGCAGCAAAAATACTAAAACATACTAAAAATACTACTAAAATACTAAAAACATAATAAAAACTACTACTAAAATACTAAAAATCAAGGCGCCAAAGTTGAAAAAGAAATTCATCTACAGTGTGGTTCGGTTAGCAGTAAAGTTCTTTCAACATCATGGTTCTGTTCTGTTAGCGACGTGGTCTTGTTAGCAGGTCCGGTCAGCAGCTTGATGGTAATGAGGACCGCAGCAGCTGCCCTCACAGACCACAGTCCAGAACCGGGTCTGGCAGACAGAGAACATCCAAGGTTTCCCCACAGAACCGAACTGGTCCTTAGAGTTCGGTCTGTGCAGGCAGATGGAGGATCTTGTTAGCAGCATTAGCAGGCCTTGCTAGCAGCTTGATCTAGCTTGTTATACTCCTTTCAGCTTATTTATGCAGATTTCAGCCTTTTATGCTATTTCAGCTACTATTTAGCTGTTTTATGCTCATTTTAGCTTTTTTAGGCTAAGTCCACATTTTTTGCACACATTTAACTTTTCTCAGACTTATTCGGCAAAAATGTGCTTTCTCCACTTAGTTCTAGTAATTTAAGCTTCTTTCTGCCTTTTTAGCTACTTTTCAGCTGTTTTGATAATTTCCACTTTTTGTGCTCATTTCTGCTTCTTTCAGCCTAATTGAGCAAACGTGTTCTTTCTGCTTCTGCTAATTTAAAGCTTGTTTTATTTTTTTCAGCTACCTTGAAGCATTTTTAAGCTAATTTCAGCTGTTTTCAGATATATTCAAGTTTTCTGTGGTAATTTCTGCTACTTTCAGCCTAATTAACTTTTTTCTTCTAATTTCAGCTTATGCTCCTTTCAGCTTATTTCTGCTAGTTTTAGCTTTTTTCCCCATTTCAGCTACTATTTAGCTGTTTTATGCTACTTTTAGCTTTTTCAGCTTATTCCACATTTCAGCGCTTTCTGCTTCCTTCTGGCAGTTTAGGGTTCTTTCTGACTTTTCGGCTTTTTTTTGTTTGTTGTTAATTTCAGTTTATTTAAACCTAATTCAGCAAACATGATCTTTCTGTTTTTTCTGCTACTATAGGTTTGTTCTTCAATTTCAGCTACGTTTCAGCATGTCGTTTTAGCTAATTTAATTTGTTTTTCAGCAAGTTCTTCATCAATAAGCATTCACACTGCATTTTCGCAGGAAATGTGATTTCTCTAGTTAGTCTTATCTCATCGGTGCAGCTCTGCGTTGCTCATTGATGTGTTGTGTGTTCAAACAGGATGTGCAGATGAAGTGAGCCTCGGTGACGGCGTCGTCTTCCTCCTGGGAATATTGTGTTCACCTATCGGACAACTTTCTGGACTCGATGAGGCACTGAGGACGATCTTCTCTGGTGGTTTTAATTCACCTAAAACAAATCTGCCTATCTCTGCTGCCTTTCCTGGATTTAAGGAGAGATTGTTCTGTTTTTCATCAATTTTATGGACTTAAACTGAGCCTTGAATTCTGCCAGCCTTGCAAAAACAAAGAAGAAACTGCAGATGACAGTATATATGTATATACATATGTCATTACTTGACCCAAAACAGTAAGTTTAGGGCTCTTATTTTTGAAAAGCTGACATATTGCAAATGGCAATCATGCATCAGTTAGGGTGGGTTTAAAGGATTTTATTTTTTTTTTTGCTCCGTTTTTTCCTCCACTGGGTCATTTAGATTTATGATTCTCCTAATGCATGTGCTGAGTAGAGGAGAAACTAGATGAAGCCAGTTCCCATGTGTCTCCCTGTGGGCAGTACTACAGTTTAAACATGATTTACAAAGTATAAATGATTTCAGTTCAAATGATGTGGTCACTATCTTGTAGGATAAATCTTCTTGGCTGTTTTTGTTTAGGGAAGCAAATCAAAATGGCAGTTGCTTGTTGCAACAATTGGTCCTCAGGAACACTGTATTGTGTGTGTGTGTGTGTGTGTGTGTGTGTGTGTGTGTGTGTGTGTGT